AGAGAGAGAGATGGAGGAAAGTGACAATGCATCGAAACATTATGAAATATTCCATCTGTGGCGCTAATTGTCTTGCTGACCACACTAATGGCCTGCTGCCCACAGCCCTCCTCCTGGGCTTTGGCCAGTGGCACAGAAGCCTGTCTTTGGTGGCTCGGTTTCTGTGGACGACTGTTAGAGTCGCTGATTCTGCTGGTGTGACACGTCCCCATCGCTTTGCCACGTATCGCTAACGTTAGTATTAGCCGCAGGAGGCAGCACGCTGGTGCTAGTTCATCTGCTGTTCTCCCTTCAGCCTGAATAAATCTCCCTGACCGTCCCTTATCTAACAGCACAGAGGAGAAAACATTTTCAGCATAAAGGGAAAAAGCTAATACGCAAAATGAAAAGTAAAAATAAAGAATTTATATAGAATGTAAATGTATCACATTATATAACTACCTATATAATAATTATGTAATTACATTCTCCTTGAGCGCCTACACTGTAACAAATGTCCAAGACCTCTATGAACGAGAGCGAGAGGCTACAGTCGCAAAGGAGCTGGAACCACTGACTGAATACGGACCAAAAAATAATAATAATAATAATTAAGTATTCAGACCCTAAGCACTGCATTCATCCAATGAACATAACACATAATGTTACTAAATTATTGAAAAAGATAAATACAAAAATGCAAAAGTAATTGTGAGTAACCACAGGAAATCAGTGCCGGTTAAAGAGCTAATATATCGAGGGAAAATAATAAATTATTTAGCACTGCATATAATGAACTACAAAGGGCTTAAATGTTCTTCAGTAGCTAATAAAGTTGTTTAAAACTATTTATCTTGGCAGTAAGTGTGTTTTTGCCCATAAAACACAATATAACATTAGAATAAATCCACTGCATCTTACTGCATAGTTATAAACTAGCTTGGATGGTAACTGCAAATATTTCACTTCTGGTTTGTGAATGGTGCAGCTAATATACTCAAACATCAAATTACAATGTATTTATTTTTTTAATTGTATATACTTATTTGTGTATTTGTATTTATTCTAATGTTGCTGTTTTTCAACAAATAAATGCTCACTGCACAGAGAAATAGCTTTAGTATGTATTTATAATGTAAATACATAACTAAGTATGTAATAATCATGTAATTACATTTAAATAGTATTGCAAAATGGCGGAAATAACAGCAAGCTTCTAATGATTGAAGGTTAAACTAATGTAGTCCAGTATTGTTATGCAGAGGCTAGTTATGATTGCATCTTCAGTTGTTACCGTCATTAGCATCACCATTAGTGCAGCTGATGCACGTGCATGTGAGCGAGCGGGCCTATGTCAGCGTGTTCGTGTAAGGTCAGAGGTCAGTGTGTGTGTGATGGGTCTGCATATGATGCAATGAGGAGGAAGAGATCACTTCCTGACATGACCAGCTGCTTCAGTACACACTCTCACACGCACATTGAGATGCAGGCGGGCACGGCTAATACCACGGGTAAAAATACCAGCAGCAGATGGGCGTTCGCTGGAGCAGGTGGCTGGCATCCTAACGTGCTGTGGCAAAGCTGAACGCAACCTTTGTGCCACGCAATGCGAGGGGAAAATATTCTTCTGTATCATTTTAATTTCCATTCCCCCCTCCATCCGGCCCGGCTTACACAAGGGGAAACATGCCAAGCGAATAAAGCAAGTTCTTTTGTGACATAACCGCTGAATTGTGCGGGCCTGCTGCGATTATACTGCTCTAAAATTGGATAGAGAATGTGCCCGCGGGAGTAATACCCCCGATTATTAACTTCATATTTCTTTCATTCACCTGGCACCGGCATGCGATAATGTGTTCGCAACAGAATTACTTCATAATGCGAGCCGTCTGTCCTTGGTCTGTACTCTAACTGCCTTCTAAAAGTCTGGATTTGGACACAAAGCTAATGGTTTTCTTTTCTTTATTTCAGATGATAACAATAAGCAGTGATTTGGGCCAACTAGCGGAAGTCTCTCAAAAGCTAAAGGAAGCTGTTTTGAGGTGTCTTCAAATCCTCAAATTGTTAAAACTTTCTGTTACACAATGTTGCCTCAAGGTAACAAACCCATTCCTCTCACTTACAATGATGTGATGCATATTTAATGGTAATGAAAGGGTCAGTGATGAAGGGAAGAGCTGTAATAAACAATGCTTGTACACTATCACTTGGTGGGCATTTATAGGCCTCATTTTTGTATAGTGCATTCCTGTCATTCCCATCACGTAGCAGTCAGCATACAGTATTTTTACTAACGTCAGCTGTTTAGAAAATGAGAGCCAATTATAATTTGAAAATATATTACTGGATTCCTTTGTTTCTATCAATTGTAGCTTTAAATTACTTTACAATGTTTCATCACAGTAATATGGCTTCTTTGGAAATACATTGTAATACATTTTTTAAAGAATTTATAGCATTTTAAGATCAATAAATTGTGTAGTTACTCAGTTCATTCTAAATATTCTCATTAAAATCTTGTTTTTCATATGACAGTCTCATTTCCACACACACAACATTGCCTTAGCATAGTGGCAATGTGTCTGAAATATTCTTGCACATATTATTTTTTTTATATTATGATTTTAATACTTGTGCCTGTTTTTGCAGAAAATGTGAATCAAACATTTTTAAACATTTTTTTAATATTTTAAAAAAATAAAAATATATGTTTGAATAGTTTATATATTATTTATCATTTTTTAATAATGTGTACAATAGAGGATTAATAAATCTGGTGAAACTCTGTTGGTTAGAAGGATTTAGGGTTTGATTAAGGTTTAAGTCTTGGGTTGAAGTTAAAGTTGATTAGAGTGAGTGTGAGGTTTAGGTTTAGAGTTAGAGTTGAAGTTAAAGTTAGGATTAAGGCTACTGCAAACCAAACACCACACCGTCGTGTAGCAGGCAGCACAAAGCACAGCTATACTATACAGAATGCATCACAGTGAGATCATCGATAAACTTCACACTCAAGTACAACTGTTGTTTGTCATAAAGACTTGGACTGAAAATGTCAGGCCTCAAGTCATCTACAACTGATGTTTGTGGTCTCATTCTGGGTTCAATGCAGTAATAGCTGAATGCTGCTCAGAGAAATAGAGCAGTGCTGGAAGTCTGAGTGAAGACCATCATTAAACCTTCATTAAAGACGGTTTCAAATTTTTGGTCCTGTAAGTGGTAGACTTTAGAGTGAGTGGTAGGTTTAGATTTAGGCCTGAGGTTAAGGTTAGAGTTAGAGTGAGTGTTAGGTTTAGGACTGAGGTTAAGATTAGAGTAAGAGTGAGTGTTAGGTTTAGGACTGAGGTTAAGATTAGAGTAAGAGTGAGTGGTAGGTTTAGGACTGAGGTTAAGATTAGAGTAAGAGTGAGTGGTAGGTTTAGGTTTAAGCCTGAGGTTAAGATTAGAGTAGAGTGAGTGTTAGGTTTAGGACTGAGGTTAAAATCAGAGTGATTGTTAGGTTTAGGCCTGCGGTTAAGATTAGAGTAAGAGTGAGTGGTAGGTTTAGGTTTAAGCCTGAGGTTAAGATTAGAGTAGAATGAGTGTTAGGTTTAGGACTGAGGTTAAAATCAGAGTAAGACTGAGTGTTAGGTTTAGGTTTAGGCCTGATGTTAAGGTTAGAGTTAGTATTAGATTTAGAACTGAGGTTAAAGTTAGAGTGAATGTTAGGTTGAAGGTTACGACTGAGGTTAAGATTAGAGTAAGAGTGGCTGTTGGGTTTAGGGTAAGGTTTAGATGTTGGATTGAAGTTAAAGTTAGGATTAGAGTGAGTTGTAGGTTTAGAGTTAGAGTTAACAGAGGGAAAGTTAACATGAATTTGACAGAAATTTAGTTAAGTAACCCTATTAAACATAACGTCATGTTATAAATGAATGAATGAATGAATGAAGCTATATCAGGATGTTAAATGTTGTTTTGTAGTTTAACTACGATGTATGATTCGTGACTATTTGAGTTTGTGAGCCAGACTTTCTAAAATAAAAAGTGGGATGTCAGCTAACCCTCACCCTGCAGAATCTATTCTTGGCATCCTGGCGTGAGGTTCTTTTTGGAAGCTGAGCTAAACATCAAATAAAACATTTAAGCCATCTTGAACTCGCATGGAAACAGGAAACGGGCACGAGTTAAGGGAGACAGTAATGAGATAAGGTAAACAGCTTCATTTTCATTTAGAATGGACGTTTTTGTGAATATTTGATGCTGCAGAGCTGAGGGTGACGTTACTGTTTCAGTTCCGGCTGAACATCACTGATTCAGCATTTGGGTGGCGAAGAGAGAGCTGGGCGCTCCGTCTGACGGACAGATGAACATTATATAACAGCACAGGCCACTTCATTTCCACTCCAAAACAGCAGGGACCCACAAGCTGAACAGCACCTCAGAGTGTGTGTGTGTGTGTGTGTGTGTGTGTGTGTGGCACTGAAAAAGTGATTCACTGAATTTACTTTATTTAAATTTGAATCTGCATGAATAAAATACATTACACCAACTAACTGCTAAAAGTAAGTAAACTAAAAGTTATGTTGATGTAATATAAACAACAGACACATTCAAACAATACACTCAATGCATCATTTCTTTTTCAGTACACTCTGCATCCATTAAAAATCACTCATTTGTTCCCTCTAATCTTCAGTTCATCTCACACCTAAAATATCAGTCAAAAGTTTTGACATTTTTTTTCTTTATTATTTTATGTTCTCTGTTTCCCCCTCAAAGCTATGAAATAATGCATTGGACTTTGGCCACATAAGGCTATCTAGACCCCGCCTCCCATCAACACACTTGATTATATTAATGAGGATATATTCCTACTAATTAACATTAATGATTTCTCCATAATTCAGACACTGAGATGTAAATACAGTATTCAGACTGGTTTAATGCCAAATGCTTCATTCTAGAGAAATTTACTGACTTGGATTTCTTTACAGTGGAGGTGACAAGAACCAGGGGTCATGAAGCTGAAGCAGTTAACAACTAACCTCCGAAGTAGGATCCGTCCGTGAGCTTAATCTCCTTGTTGTGTTTGGTGATGACGCTGGCGACGCCGTGCTGGATGAAGTACATCTTTTTACCCACAGTTCCCTCGCGGATGATGTAATCATTGGGCTGGAACACCTCGAACTTGAGCTTACTCAGCATTCCCGTCACAAAGTTGGGGTCAGCGTTGGCGAATAGAGGCATGGTGGCCACCAGCTTACGGCAGTTAAAGTTGACGATCTCCTGAAAAGGCACAAATAGCAAAACCCATCGTCTGTTAGACAGATAATATGATAAAATTGAAGTTGAATAAAATTACTGTTTGAGTGTTGATGAGAAATGCTTTTTACCAGCTTATCTCTGAAACACATTTGAGATAGTGTTAGATTTAAGTTACGTGCTGCAATGTTAGCATAAGCTAGTGGCACAGAATCTAAATCTAACATTTTTATTAGGTTATGTTAGCTAACTTGCTAATATTGATTAACTGCCAGTTTTGTTCTTGATAATCTTGATTGTCTTTGTTCTTGATAATGATTATAGCTAGCCATCTTAGCTAGCTGTCACCTCTACTGTGCTGTTGATAACTTAGCTAAAGTTAGTGCTAGCCTAGCTGATGTAGTTGTTGAAACAGTTTGCTTTCATGATGAACTCATCTAGCAGCTATTAAGCCAGAAGCCTGACATAGAGCAGAGAAGATAGGCATGGAAAATGACCTGTAAGAATATTTTAGAATGTATTCTATTTAAATTACATTCAAACTTCTCTTTTGCTACTGAATACATGGACATTCATTTGTTGCGCCACCCGTCAGAGCACACACTGATATAATGCGCGATTTAAGAGGCTTACTCTGATATCCAGTGTGGTCGTTGTGTTTAAAATCCAAAACAAAATGCTCAGAAAAATGGCTTACAATAAAATAATAATCTGCTTGTTTGCTGGACACAGATTAGGCGTAGCCTCGTGACGCAGAATACACTGTGTTTTGTAAGCCTCACTGTAACTCCTGCTGGATTTTGTAATCGAGCACATCACATTTACAGACTCATTTTTGGGTGCCTGGTGCTGGAAGGCATTTATTTTTAGTCTTTTTAGAAGAATGTTCTACTTCCAAGAGCTTATGCTAATGGAAAAGGACAGCTGGGCTGAGCACTTTTACTCTGCAGATTAGGAATAAATGCAACCATTAGTTTTTAATTATTACTACAACTACTGCTGCTATTCTGGTCCATCATTTTTATATTTGTATTATTTATTCATCCCTTCTTTGTCCTCTGTAGCGATGATTTGTAAAGGATTCCTGAGTGGCCTGTATAAAAGATGATTATTATTATTATTATTATTATTATTAATGGTAGTAATCACACACTTTCGGTTGCTTTCAAGTGTTTGCAGACACCTGTTTAGAGAGTTTGTCTCCCTTTTGCTGCAGCAACAGCTTCTTCTCTTCTGAGAAGGCTTTACACTAGATGTTGGAACATTGCTGTGATTGCAATTGATTGCATTCAGCCACAAGAGCATCAGTGAGGTCAAGTACCGATGTTGGAGGATTAGGTCTGGATCACTCCAACTCATCCTAAAGATATTTGATGGAGCTCCATCACTCCAGAGAACACAGTTCTACTGCGACAGCCCAATGCTGTTGGATTTTTTATCCCTCTAACTGACACTTGAAACTGGACATGGCGACCGTGAGTGCTTTTCTATGGAGACGACACAAGTTGAGAGTGCTAAGTAAACTTCTCTCAGCAGCAGGTGCACCTCAGAAGTAATTAATGCACTAATTAGAAGGGCTGTCTGGATACTTTTGGACAGTATACGTTCTGTCAAATCTCCTTTCTTTCTCCGTCACCTCCTAGCATCCAGAATTTACATAACATCCATGTCATCCTACGTTTCCATGGCATGGAAAGCCTTTGTTTGTTCTGACGAGAGTGTTGAGACATAATTTCCTCACACATCTTGTAATGCACACGTACTGCGGTGTGACCTGTTAGCTTAGCCCCTAGCGGTACCGGTGCTGTAAGCCAGGGGTTCTGACCGCAATCAGGAAGCAGCAGGAATAATGAGCAACATCCAGCCTCGGACTGCCGCTAGGGGAAAAACGGCTGGAGAGTTTGGCTATTTAAAGCAGGTTTGTCACACGGCAGAGCCTGTAAAAATAGCGGCCCTGACCAGCTGCGAGAGAGCGAGCAGGAGTGCGTGCAGAGTGAGAGAGAAAGTGGAAAAAAAGGTGTTGCAGAAAATGAAGCAGTAAGTATTCTCGCCTTGCTGCATCATCACTTGCACTCATTCTGTCTGCTGCGCTATGGTGGATGTGTTAGAGATATTGTTACACACATACCACAACACACGCATGCAGGCAAAAGTTTGGGCACACTTGGTGTTCCAACATTCTTTCAACATAATTACCATGTTTTGTCAGTTTGCAAAAATGTGACATACTAAAGGGAATATTGTTTAGCTGGAAAAGTGAAGGAACAAGTGATAAAAGCCCTACCCTGGCAATAAAGCCAAAACCCACGCATTTTAGCCCCTGGTGGTGATGGTAGCACTCAAACGTTTCAGCTGTTTAAACCACTTTGGGCCGTACGAGTTTCAATATGTGCTTTTAACACTAGTTTGAAGAAGAAAACAAAAGCCGAGTGTTGAAGCTAAATCTACCCAAAGGACAAGCACATCGCTGTTTGCTGATAATTTTGTTTTCTGATATTTTTTCAACACAAAAATGTCTACTTTTGCTGTTGTACCTACTCTTTATGTGAATAATGCAGTTTCTGAATGCTGTCGTTGTGTTTATTGTAAGTGATATGTAAAGAACGACAAAAAGAAAACATGAATAGGAATATAAGTCACATGTCAGTTGCGTTTTATCATTAATTCTGATTACAGAACTCAATAATAAGTGCTTACCGATCTGGGCTGTGCTCTGAAAGTGCTTGAGCTTTCAATTTGAAAAAAAAAACATGATGAATCCAAGAATGAACTTATGCAGCTTTTATACAGTGATATGAACACAGCAGTGCACAGAAAGACTCTTTTTTTTTTTTTTCAAGTGGCCGTGTGGTGTATGACAGGACTGGTAATTCAAATTTAGTGTTCGCAAGAAAGTTGATCAAAGTTGAATTTTATGCAAATTCTAATCAATGACCCAGATCTGTCCAGTTATTACCTAGTCATATTTAGAAAACTATAACCCCATATGCAGCCATCTGAAGAGGTGGAATTCCTTCAATGTAGCTGCACTGGTTCAGCGGAAATGATCTGTAATGATCTTTCCTGCATCCAAATTCCACTACATTAACTGTGTGCAGTCAATGACTGGCAGCCTTTAAACCCACACGGCCTCTGACCCTACTCCGGTCGTTAATCAGCTCGTCTTGCCTGTCCCTCGAGTTCATCAAAGAGAACGATAGATCAAAATTGACTGAATGAGAAAAGCAGTGTGCGTTCTACTGAACGCTGACTGTCCGTGCTCTCGGGAACAGCGTAACCTTTGTAGCTGATGACTGTGTAGCCGGTGTGAATTTCACAGTATAATCATGAACCCTGTAGGCTTCAGTAATGAGGCTCAAAGGTAGCCACCCCAGCCGTGCTGCTGATATCGATGAGTGGGTTTGACAGAAATCGATCAGAGGAGATTATGGAAGATACTGCAGGTCTGCAGTCTTTGAGTGTCATTCAGAAAGAACTTTGGAGTTAAAATTATTTAATACAAATATTACTGTAGCAGTCAAACGTTTGGATTCACTTGACTGAACACTTTATCTTAAAGACGATTTGATCTACAAGTGTGTTTGTGCTCAAATCCTTATAAAGCAAATATAAGGTCTCATTTTATATTGTCTAATTATTTTGTAGGTACACATTAACAGACATGATTTGGAAATGGTGACCACATTGATATACTTAAAACGACTACTTAGTAGTAATGTTTTTTGTATTTAATCTAATAATATTTTCTGTGCAAATAAATTTTAAATTGTATTGTGTACCTCATTAAATGTTAAATAGTTCAGTGTCTACATAACACATTCATGATATATTACATAAACACTTCAGAACGTGTTAATAAGATAATCCTTTAATAGTCCCACAGTGGGGAAATTCACAATGAATGAATGTTTAAATCAACATTTATAAAGTATACATGTGTACATGATATTAACATGGACTACTATGCCATTTTATTGAAATACATTTTTCAAAATGAAAATCCTAATTTTTTTATTTTGAAGAAGTATATTATTTTCAGTAAAATGCCTCAATTCTGGACAGCCAAAATAAAAATGATCTTTCTTTATACCATTGGTCATTAAGTGCTTTGGCACATTTCACCTATACTTTTGATCTATGCTTTATTTTTAAATATTCTGTTGTTTCGTAAGCATTTGTTGCTTTGCATGTCTCTTTACTACACAGCTAGTAAATTACATCAAAAAGTATGCAATATACCATCATTCGACTGAATCTTAGTATGGTGGTGTGCCTAAGTGTCAAAGCACTAGTGACCCAAAGGGTAAAGCAAGGTCATTTTTATTTTGGCCATCCAGAAATTAGGCATGTTACTGAAAATAATACAGTTTTTAAAAAGATAACTTTTATTTTGAAAAATCTCTCTCAGTAAAATGACATAGTAGTCCATATTAATATAATGTAAAACATGTATGCTTTATGAATGTTGATTTAAACGTTCACGAACGTTATGAAGTGTTTATGAAAGATGTTATGAATGTGTTTTGCAGACACCCTTCAAGTAAAGTGTTACAGTTAGTTCAATATGTCCTCCTTGAAGTGTTTGAGTTAATCAGCTGTGCTGTAAAGTAGGCGGGGTTCTAAAAGCTGATGACTTTGTATGAGTTTATTTCCTAAATAAATATGTTTAAGAAGGAGACCACTCTTCTATTTCTTCTCATCTCCTGTTTGGTCAAAAGTAAATGAGTTTTGAGCAGGTAAAGCAGTGAGATCATACAAGTTCATATATGTTCTTCAACCCTGTTGGAAGAGCACCTTAGGTGGCCCTTCATGAATGTGCTTGAGAGAACGTGAAGAACGTGCAAAACTGCATGAGGAAAAGGGCTGCTACTCTAAAATAGAGGACGATGTGGTTTCGTTTAACACTATATCATTACATATGTGTTATTTTATATATTTGATGGCTTCTATTATTCTAAAATATGGGAAAAAGAAAAAACCCTTCTGCGAGTGAGTAGGTCCACTACTGCTCCTCCGTATAGAGCAAAATTATTGAACAAAAAATAACTTGGAAAAAAAAAGCCTCGGTGTCCAATTTCTGAAAAGAACTAGGTTAAGAGTGGCACTCCTGTTACACAAGAAAAACACCACATTACGTTTTAGAAAGGTATCCTTTTTAAAGCCCTGCTGACACAATTTTGCAAGAAGGAGCCCTCATTTGTGTCAGGACGTTTTTTTTTAAAGAACGGAAGACACATTTGAAGTGTAATATGAGGTGTGTTTTTATAATAAATGTAACAGGAGTGTCACACGTAACCCACTTTGTTTTGTTTTTTTGTTTTTTTTTTTGGAAATTGGAAACTCAGTTCCTTCTGTATTTTACTGGGAAAGCAAATAACCAAGAATCGTTTTACTGGAAGAGTGTGAAGGTAAAGGGAGGGTGATGTGGCAAAATATAACATTAAAAATAACCATATTTAGTTTTTCTCAGGTTTGTGTAGAAGTTGGTACAAACAAAATGCACCAGCAAACCAGTGGAGCTGTGTTTACTTTTTTCATATTAAATGTCTGGACAAAAATATTTAAGATGCCAAATTAAACGGTTGTCAGTGGAGCGAACTATTCAGACAGTTTTAGTGAACTGTAGTTAGTGAACTGGCTAACTTAGCACACCATGAGGAGGTTGGATTGACCTAATATGACAATGTTATTAAGTCCAGTTTTACATTTTGTGGACTTCTGTGGACAGTGGTGGTCTGATATATGAATAAAGTGGGTCAAAAGGAACTGTTTATTTGTTTTATTCTGTGCAAACCTGGCTACTTGTTTACTGTAATGTGTTAATGCGAGCCAGCTTGCCAACGAGGGAGAGCTACTGTTAATGACGGTATATCCTGTTTGTTTAAAGCTTTACAGCAAGAAAATGTATTGAATGAAGTGGGGGAGGTGGGGCTTTGTGAGGGGGTCTGGCCTGCCAACACTGCTGAAAAAATCCTATAAGGAACACCATAATGAACTACTGTCCTGTCAGCTACTTGTTGCTATGCGGTTTCTGCAATTACTCTGCACTAGTCATTGTTATTGTTTACAGGCTCTCTATAATTGATCTAAATATGTTTTTTCTCTAACAATACTCAGAAAAGCATACTGTGACATAATTTATCATGATAACAATAACATACCCTACACACTTCTTGTGTCCTATTCATAGCCAGTGTCTTTAATAACCGTGTAATTACACATTATCAATACATGCAACAACAATGTAACTACTGGTGATGTATTCACTGTTACAGATAGAATACCGTAGTACATCTTATGTAAATGTACAGGTCAGAATAGTTTAAAGCCAGAACTTTGGTTAGGTTACCATGTCGTAACATGGCGATGTAATAACAATCAAGATACGCTCATGTATTTACATGAGTAAAGACTGAAGCTGATACATATGTGTATATACATAAACTGTACTACTGTAATCCATCTATAACTGTGAATACATCACCAGTAGTTAGATTGTTGTTACATGTATTGCTAACGTGTAACTACACAGTTATTAGAGACACAATATAAAGTGGGCCCAATTTATGTTATGGGCCCTTAAAGGCTTTCAGTAATATTATTGAACTGCACAATCAGTATGAAGCTGATTGTCTAATAGTAGAAAATTCATTAGAAGACAAAAACGACTGTTCAAATCCAGGATTCTCTGTGTGTGTGTGCAGCTGTGAGGTGATTAGTGGAGGAACTGTTTGGAACTGCACCTCTTTTAAAGGGTCGTTGAGCTCGTTCAGGATGTTATCCTCATCGAAGATCTTGCCCTGGTAGCGATGCTCATAATAGTCGTGGATCTTCTGGCGCATGTCGGCTGGGAGCTTGTGGAAGGACATGTACTGCTCCACTTGCTTATACTACATAAGAGAGAAAGAGAAAGAGAGAGAAAGTGAAAGAGAGAGAGGTTATTTTCAGTGTTCAAAGTTCAGGGTGTGATCTTCATTCTTAAAGTCAATGTAAATTGGAAATCATAATGCATTTTTTCATTCAATACCCTTAGATATTTGAATGTGAAAACAGTATCTGAGCTGGCTGAGCATTTTCTGTAGATGAAAGGCAGGAGTGGGAGGGGGAGGTCAGTTAATTTAAGATATTATTACTTAATATTATTTTCGGTGCCTGCTGGTGCATGGTGATGTAATCAAAACAAGATTTTGTGACATCAGCGAAGAAGTGACGACCAAGAAGACTCTAATTTGACCCTTTTTTTTAAAGATAGTGTTCTGTTGGACCGTAAAATCCAGCTTTAGGAGCCGATGTGTGTTGAGTCTCTAGTCACAGACACAGACAGCCACTTTTGCTGGTTGGTTGGTTGAGAGCAGGTGGCAGGTGCGGAGGGAAAGTGGCTGCAGGCTCAGCTCTGACGACATCAGAGAGGAAACGTCTCTGATCCAAACACCTGCTCACTGTTACCTACCCAAGAACAGACAGAGTCTGCTCAAAGCATGCCGGCTCTGTCATGAGAACTCGCAGAGCCATTTTTTTGGGGGGAGCCTATTGTTTTACACCTTTGAAAACACCAGCTGTCCTTTACATTGCATGAACCTTTCATGATGAATGGAACAAAAGCAGACTGACTGTCTCATTTTGTTTAACTGGGGTGGCCAGAGGGCAGACCAAGCCTCTCACTGTGGTGGCACTGGCCACCCTTTGGCTCCGCCCCTGAAAGAAACAAAACAGCTTGATCAGTTGCTTAATTTGTAGTTTGTATAGCAACCATGCTAGCTATCTAGCATAACAGCTAATCCAATTGAAGTTTAAGTAAATTTCAAAACAATGTGATCTGTGACTTAAATCACCTCCCTAGCATATTTGCTATCCAAACTGCCTCTTTTCTTTAAACACTGCATTTACTGCATGTAGTGCTTTGTCGTGTCCATCAGACTGAAGGGTTTCCTACAATGAAAAGCTTGTCATTTGAAGCTGCATTGAAACTAATGACTTTGCACAAACTCAGCCAAACTGACAGGCAAAGTCAAACACATAAGGTTGGAAAAAAAAGTTTTTATTTACTTACTGCATTAATATTGGTACTCCCAATTTACTTCTTTGTGTTTTTCTGTAGGCTGAGATTTCTTAAGACTCAAGCTTGAGTCGAGGCGTGAGTCATTTAAAGGTCAATCTGAGTTGAATCATGAGTCAACATGTGACGCAATTTCCTTTCTCTGGTCTATACATACAAATATAGTTAATACACATTAATATCAACATAGGCTGGTCAATATTATGCTCTGTGTGCTCCGTACAATGTTCATCTCATTTGAATTATTAGATTACTGGCAGTGGTTCTAAATGCTAGACATGACACTGATCTGATACCAGGCATTGATATCAAGAGAAAATGCTGGATAGGATATCAGAGGTATAAAAAGAATGAATGTGATCCAATGCTGTATCAAATCTATCGTGAAACAGCACTCTGTGTGATGTAATGTTAGCCGTGTAGTTCTCTCCGTGTAGCAGTTTTAGCATGTTAGCCTGCTTTTAGATGTTCATCTTAAGTAAAGTGCTTCAATTAATTATAGAGCATTATTTTTTTAAAGAAGAAATATTAGATCTGTATCAGTATTGATGTTGTTGATACTAATGGTTTTAATATCAGTATTTGTATTGGCATCAGATATTGCATCTACTAATGGCTGACTAATTCTGGTTGATTGTGGTATTAGGAGACCGCTATTAAGGCCAGTTTGATGGATCAGGATCAAGAGTAGTCAGCAGCAATGTCAGTGGTGTTTCACCATTAAAAATGCAATCCAGTTTATGCTTAAGTTCAGTGTGGGTCTGGAAAACTGACTCTTTGGTTTGGCTTAGAGATGAGTCAGTGACTGAAAATATTTATTCTTTTACGTATGCAGGACCCACGATGAGTAAGAATCAGGCCTTATGATACAACATTATCACAATACTTCATACAATGATTGCATTTGTGATATGCTAAGTATTGCAATATGACATGTTACAAAATACTGTTAATTATTACATCCACTGCAGGTGATACTACCTAAAGAACAGCCTATACGTTTTTAAAACTCATTTCAATCTGTTTTTGGTGAAGGACAACAGAAATGTGAAGTAGATAAAGCAATACTGAGAGAAAAAATACAAACTTCCTGCTGTATAGAACAGAAAGTGTAATGTTAAATAATGCATAATGTTAAATAATTCAAGCCCGCTGCTTGGGCCTCTGTGCATCGATACTCTTTTTCTTCACCCCAAATGTTGTGATACTATGTTGGACAAATCTTTTACTCCCACATCTAAAAAGCACCATTTAATCTACAACACGGTCCCATAGGCTAAAAGCCTTGTCTCCCTTTAATTTCCCAGGTAGGAGGAAACTTGAGGGACATTGAGTGCTTTTATTCACCTAACTGCAACTGCACTCAGCAATTAGTCTGGCGCTCTTTAAAATTACAATGTCAGAGACAATTATTCAGACGGAAAGAGACAGACAGAAAGACAGATTGACTCAGTCTCAGACTCTGCGAGAGACAGGCAGACTCAGAGACGGAGAGAAAGCCTGGAGACTGGAGAGGATTTAAAGCGACAGTGTGTGGTCAAACTGATCCTATATCAGACTGCGCTGTGCGCTGGATCATGCTGGTTTACAATCAAGATTTATAAAGGAAGTGGCATGTGGGAATAAACAGCAGCAAGTCTCTAGTGCCTTGACTGGTGGGGAAGAGAAGATTTGTAGTCAGCATGGATTAACTTAAAAGGCCCATATCTTACACTGGTCATACATTTTATATTAGTCCCTGAGGGCCACTTATAACGTTTGTGTGTTTTTATGCACCCGAAACCTCCATAATTTAGTTTTTTACATGATCATTTTCCAACCTCTTTACATCCCTTAGAATTTCACAGGCAGTTTTTGTTACTCTGGCTTTAAGACTGATATATGTAAATTACCTCTGTTCTGATTGGCTGCCATGTATTGTGCATTATTCATATAACAGTCCAGGCTGAATCAGTCCTCATAACTTCATTGTGAATGTGTGGGGCTGAAATGCTGTAGGCTGAATTGGTGGGTATATGTAAATGAAATGGTTTTTCACTACATTACAAAAACAGTGAATTCAAAATGAGTTATTTTTGATGATTAGTTTGCATATATAGACTGTATGGACTGAGGAGTGAAGCGTACACTTTTTTACAATCTTTACATACTGCAGCAAACTCTTTTATTCCAAAAAAGCATGGCAAATTTAGTTTTCAACAACGTGGGCCCCTTTAAAGTGAGTTTGGCAAAAAAATTAAATTTATACAGTTTACCCCAACTGTAGCCAATCAACCCAGACATGTCTGGTTTCTTTAGTTTTGCACTGGAGGTAAATTCAGGCTTCAAGTCAGCTGCTGTTACTGATTTTGGTATAGTAGTTTTGTCAGTTTTTATTGTGAGCTAGTACAGGTACACTTCCTTTTTTATTTTCTAAAACAGGGATGTGGACAGAGAACCCTCAGAACTATGTAATTTTAAGTGCATTTTTATTAAATAGGTTTAACATATCTGTATTTAAACTCTGCAGGTACTGTAGTAATACTCTTATTTCATTACTGAGTAGTGGTTGGAAACAAAGGGGTTAAAATTTTGGAACACCCAATGAAAAACTGTTCAAATCAGGAATTTTTACTGTGTATCTACTGACCTCTCCAATTGGTTAGGACTTCAGGAGCTGGACTGAAGGCTTCACACAATAGGTTAACTACTAACATACTTAGGAAATGACAGAGGAATCAACCAGTCATGTTTTCATTTCCAGTGGGTCAGACCAATTTTGTATGGGTCCTAGATATGTCACTGATTTTGAATATGAACTGTAGTCTAGCCAGGTTTCAGTCAGTTGTTAGATATGGAAAACGGTGGTGGCAGCTTAAAGCAGGACACTATGCTAAAACCTAACTGCTACACACAAGGTGAAATATACATTAATGTCTGTTGCAGTCTTCAAGTAAGACAGAATGTAAAATGTATTTTACAAGTTTCAAATGTTTGTATTTGTAATCTGCAATGGGCAAAAAATGTCAATGTGCACCAGCTGTAGCTTAGGGCTAACCTAATATTAGAACTCCCATAAGGGAGGTAGCAAAAATCTGCATTATTGAGTTTTTTTCATATCAGCCCAAACTGAAGGCTTAGCTCTAATAGCCATGATTTGTCCGTGAACATAACCCAGCTTAACACAACAAATTTACATTTAAATGTCCTTTTATCTAGTAGAGATTTAGAAGTGTTGCATTTAGATGTAGCATATTCACTGCTACACTATGCTATGGCTACATCATGGTTTAGGAAAACATCCAATGAAATGACTTATTGGCCTGTAGCACATCAGGTTTTGCATGTTTAACTGTAGAATTCCAATGAATGCTTTGCTTATGTAAATTTGCCCAATGAAATGAAGTGTAACCAAAAATAACTAGAGGCTCTTACACCATCAGAGTGAACGTGCTGTGCTGGAATATGTTCACCATGAAATGGAAAAATAAGGCATAGTTAAATTAATAAATAAAAAGGATCACTCTATGGCACTATTTAATTCAAACAAATGAATGCCACACACGCTCTTTAGTGTTTTTTCTGCAGCACAGAGACAGAACACGCAAACTAGAGAATGTACTTCAGAAACTCATTCATTTTAAAGAGGAGCTGCTTAGCGAGGGCACACACGCTTGAAGGTACCCGTCAAAGACGGAGTGTTTTAACGGACTTTCACAACCCAGTGAAAGAGGAACCTGTGAACAAACAGCATCTCACACAGCGCTGACCATCATCCTGGCATGCAAACGTGGATCAGCACTGACCCAAGCTTGACTGATACAAGAACAAAAATGGAATGAAATTTGTCAGGCC